TCTAGCAGGCGCAAATGAACAATTGCGATTTTCACAGAGTAATTTTTCAAAAGAATAGAGTCAAAGCATAATTCCTTCTCTGCTCTTTTACACAACAAAGTAGTAAGAATGCGTAAAATATTAATAATAAGTACCGAACTAATTAAAAATTACACCCCCCCAAAAAATTGATTTTTTTTTCAGTTTCAACTGTGTTGAGGCACCAGATAAAACCTTGAAAATTGCACACGCAAAAGATCTTTGCTATAAAACTACAGTATTAATTTCATCTTTGTATTGACATCTTTCACTAAAAATTGCGCGGAAATTACTAACATCAAGAACCTCATGTGAAATTTGTTACGACAAAACGAGTTTGCATCCTAAACCACACCACAATTGTAATTTCCTTCCCAAATCTGGCTGCTGAGTAGTGAGGCAGGGGCGCTTCGTAGGATGCGCGTAAGCTGAGATGCTACTTGGCTGTCGTCTTGAAAACTGACTGCGACGAGACGAGCATATGACATATATTGGGTGGTATGAATAAAAAAGATCAATTACTCTTTGCTCCGAGTTTCGGAAATCCTTCTCAATTTTGTATGAATAAAGTGAGTGAGCAATTGCTCTGTCTCTGAGCGTACTCTCAAATGGCGACCAAATTCTCAGAATTGGTATGAATAAAGTTTAGCATTTACTCAGTAGATTGAGCACTTGCTTCAAAATTTCGGAGGGACCTATGTAGCAGACTCACTTTGAGAAGGTTAAAATGGCCGTGCACCTACCGTGTGCAGCGGAGTAAAAACAATTACAAGATTCGGCGAGATTCTAGTGACATGAATTATAAGAATCTTTACCGATTCGAAAAGGACAATGATGTACGATTGACACATTTTCTCATCGTTCGTGAAGAAACAAGAGGCGGAGTTCTAACCAAAGAGCAAAAAATGAAATTTTTTCTTCCATATGTGGCCGATTCAGGTAGGAGTGGCAGAAGATGTTGGCGTGATTCAGTCCACAGTCAGCAACACTTTTAGTTTCGTCATGGAGAAAATAAAAGAAAAAAAACAGTATTGGATACAGCTCCCAAGAACTGCAATAGATGTCCAGCATGCAAGAGATCTGTGGCAGGAAAGATACACTTTCCCTAATGCAATTGGTGCTCTTGATTGCACACATATTATGATTAAGAAGCTGATGAATACATCAATAGGAAAGGCCTTCATTCTATAAATATTTAAGCAACATGCAATGCTAAAGAAGAATTTACTAACATGAACGCTTCTTGGCCTGGATATGTGCTCACGATTCTAGCATTTGGAATCCATCCACACATTGCCGCGGAGTAGACTCACTTTGCTCCGGAGCAACTACTCCTGAGCAAGTGCTCATTTTTATTCATACCGCCCATTGAATTAATGGAGGATTACTCCACTTAAGCACAAAGCGCTCAACGCCCCTCGGGGCTTGTCATTGAAAGACGCAACAAATTTCGAAGAAAAAAACACATAAAAAAGTTCAATACAGTTTTTAAAGAACTAATTGTGTAGCACATATTTCATTTGAGGAAAAACATTTCAATCTTCAACAATGTAGAAGAGATGGACAATATGTCGGACTTCAGCGATTTTCAAATTTTCAGCGAGTAGAGGGAATTGGCGAGTTCTGGACCAGGAAGTAGATAAGATAAGCCACTTCTGGTCCCAGACCCGCAACATCCGGTGTCAACAACCGGCGCCACCAATTATAATGGGCCCGAACGTTTCCCGCCGAAGGTCAAGAGCCGGGATCAACCCCCACCCGCCAGGAAGTAGATAAGATAAGCAACTTCTGCTCCCAGACCCCCAACATCCCATGTCAACAACCGGCCAATTTTAATGGGCCCTAACGCCCCCCGCCGAAGGTCAACAGCCGGGGACAACGCCCCCACCCCAACCCCCCTCCCCCCGCCAACCTTGCGGCTCTGGTGGCGACGACTGGCGGTAGCGTGTGTAGCGTTTGTAAAAAGGTTTTTTAAAAAAGTATGCAATAATACTTTTTTTTGTAGATTTACATCAGAAATTGAAGCCATAGGCAGAGAAGAATTTTTAGCGGAAAGGTCGCATTTAACTTTTCTTGGGGTCAATCCTAAAAATAAAGCATACGTTGTACTTACATACAAGTACAAATATTAAATGAAACAAACAATATGCGAAAATCTCTTAATATGGTTCAAGCAATATGGACTTCAAAAAAAAAGGAATAATGAACAACTTACTAAATAAATCAAAATTTATATCGTACGTTTTGTTTTTAATAAATACTTGTATTTGTTGTCAAAATGTTAATCGCACAACTGTAAAAAAATGAAATGATGTACATATATTACAGAATAAAACAAAATATTAAATATAACTGCACAGTTCTTCTCATTTTCCTACTCCATTTCTCAAATCCAAAAATACAATATTAAGTAGATAAAATTACATAGGAAAAGAAAATTTATCAAATATTTATAAAAGTAAATTATTACATTTAATTTCAAAATTTACTATTCACCCATACCTAATTTCATATATTGCTAAAAATGGTTTGTCAAACAATTATTAAATGAAATCAAATAAGTTTCAAATACTTTCATAAATGAAATATACATCCCATACAAGGATGTGACAGGATACCAAATAAAAAACAGTGCATTTGAAAAGTTTTTCTTTATTTAAAGCAAATGGTTATATGCGCTCTTCTAAAGACAAAAATAAAAAATAGAATATTAAGGTGATAAAATTACAAATAAAAAATTACATTAAAATTAATAACCTACTTTGGAACTAAAAAAATAAAGGAAATAAAGACAGTGCATGTGCTCTTCAATAAACAAAAATATAAAATAAAATATTAAGTAGATAAAATTACAAATTAAAATTTAATAATCTAGTTTAGAAAAGTTTCCGTAAAACAGAATTAATAAATTACCAACACCACTTGGCAAATACTTAGGATACCAGCCTTTAGAATTCACTCGCTGTTTCGCCAAGTTATTATTTTCTTCTGGTTTTACTTTTCTGTTTATGCATATTTGATTTCTGAGGATGCCAAGCTTCAATTTAATGCAGCTATCGGCAATTGTCTCGACGAAACAGACTGCTGTTGACTGGATGGTGAATCTAAACCTTGTTCCGGTGGAAATGCAGTGCCCTTTCTGTAGGCGAGACTCAATGTTCAAACTGCAAATTATTTCTTAGGAATATTTTCATGCCAGAAAAAAAACAGGGGAAGTCATGGAGGGAGACAGTTCCTATTCATTTTGTCTGACATGAACTCGCATAATTTCGTCTTATTTCCTTTACTTTAAGCATTTCCATCCTTATGAGCTTTGTTACCCTTTCGCTTCTTTTGTTGGTAACGCTTAGGGGAGGGAATATTTTAGAACAGATCGCCCTGCCTAGCCTGCCCATTACAGTTAGCTCATAATTTTGCCCATTAGACCAAAGACACCCTAAGCAGAGGATGAAAGTAACATGAAATCTTCCACTGTCAAATTAATTTCGAATTTCCGGCACAGGCTTAGACAAAATTTGATAACTAGAAATGTTTGCTTCCGAATAATGAAACTATTTTTCATCGAAAAACAAACTATAAATATGACCTAAAATTATTTTTGTCACAATATCTTAACTCCACACTCCTCTGGCAACTAGCGTAAATGTGCAAGAAAAAATGAAATAATTTTTATTTACGGCGAAGCTGGGAGAAATGTCGACGCTGCTATTCCGTAATCCATGATGCAACAAGGAGGAATGTTAGTTCAGAAAGGTAAATATCGGATCGCCTCTGAAGAACTGTAGGCACGGACCATGGAGAGACGCTACCAACAAATTGACGGGTGTGCCCTGAGGCCACACTCATAACCTCTCCAATTAGTCGGAAATTAAATTTTTGCGATTACAGCGCCACCTATCCCAAATCAGAAAAAAAAGTTTCAGACAAAACTTATGTATTTTTGTGCGTAGAATCCGAATCTGAAATAAAAATTGGGGGTTCCTATTTAAGATTTCAATGTTGCCCACCGCCCTACCCGCTGGGGGCAGGGGCTGCTGATTTTAGCATAGAATGATACCTCCCTTCAAAACTGTTATTTGGTCTCGCCTCAATTTTTCGAACATCGCGTATTTTTGAGTTATTTCAAGTTGTCAAGTTAAACGGGACATCCTGTATATTTTCTTCAAGCAAATAATAAATAACGTGAAAAAGTACACCTTGACATAATGATACACTGAGAAACTGCATATAACAATATTCACATTATGAAATATGAAAATATTCATTCAATACGGGATTCAAACCCCATTGACTCAATTGCACTCGTGGTAGCTTTCAAAATTACAACATGTTTGTTTTTGAATAAAGATGCCTCCATTTAGAATATCCACATGGAAATAAAATTACAGATACCCTATTCAGAATTCAGATGATAGGTTAATGGTAAGTTAATATTAAATAGTTGCTTCTCAGTTCAACGGTGTGATTAAAGTCAAATAGTTTTTCATAAATTTGCACGTAAGTGAAGAAATGGTCAATAATGCAATTAACTACTAACATAATTGCTTCCGGTGAATACCTATTTATTTGTTACTGCCCTCTTACTAGAAACGATAGTTCTTTTTTTATTTTATTTTTAAATATATATATTTCTCCTTTTTCAGTAGTAATTCTACCACTTTGGGCTTCACCAATAAATTCACTACACTCTTTACAGACTTTCACTGATACTTTGTCTATTTTTATGAAGCCTTTACTATGTATCAAATGAAATAATACACTGATATGACGGAACTGATGTTTCCTGACCCGCGGTAAAAACATCGATTGAAGTCAATCATAAAGCAGTAGACGCGCTCGCGAACACCGATGTGCAAGCTCCGCGACACGCGCGGTAGACATGATTCAAAGCAACTACAACAACGAGACGCAGAATAGAATCAGAGAACAGTCAAGAAATTAAAAAAAATAATAAAAACACTTTTACTGTGTCGGCGGTGGTGATCCGGCGGCAGATGGAGATGTTGACGCGCGGGGCAGCGACAGCGGTGACACGGAGTGCGGCCGCCGGAGAGGCACGAGCGGCCCGCTTAACCGCCAGCGGCGCTGCGTGGGCCTCTGCTGCGGCCCGTTGTTACCGCCCTCGACAAGTGCTGATGCAGGCGGCGGCGGCGGCGGCAATAACAAATTCTGCGGTCGCAACGGCACGCCTCTGCGCTGCGTTGTTGTAGTCTTCCTCGGCGACTGGTGGTGATGACGGCGGTGGCGGCACGGTGATAAGAGGTGGTGCCGTCGCATGGAGCATCACCCCGTTTTCAACTGTCGCATCTGCCGGCGACAGGAGTCTTCGTCTCGCCATCCGCGAGTAAATGTGCAATGGTACGTCCGCCGCGCAGTGCCGCGGCGCTACGATACGCGGACAATTCGCGGACGATACTCTAGTGGACAATTACAGTAAATATGTTGCCAGTAAAATATGTCTTCAGGGGTGTTTCCGAGCACGTGCACTGCTTGTCGATCGGCCCCGATGAATTCTAGGAAGTTAAAGGCTACACTTGCCCGTAAGCGATAAGCGTAGTGTAGAGCCGTTCTTCCGTATATGTCCCGAAGGTCGACGTTTTCACCGCGGTCCAGGCAAAATATCACCCCTTCGACATCGTTAAATGCCGCAGCATAGTGTATAATGCTACGTTGATAAATATCACTCGAAAAAATCGCGCCTCGTTTATATTCGCGAAGCGTCGAAAAGACATGATATTGTCGCACGACATGACTAAGACGTCTTACTTCTGCAAATGTAAACTGAGAAGTGCGTTTCTTTCGAAAGGCAAAAAACAGCGCGCGTATAATCTCTATGTTCATTAGCGCCGGCCGCGATAGCAGCGCGCGCGGCGCCCGCTATCAACCCCAACATCCGGCGACGCCGCCATTTTCCGCCGGCTGCTGCCGCGTACTATCACGACCCCTAACCAGACAGCTCCGCTTAGAGCCAGAACGCTGGCCGCCTCGCACACAGAAAACGGGACTCAGCCTGGTTCGAATCCTCACGCAGACGCCCGTTTTTGAAACCGCACCCCAGCCTCACAGCCTCCGCACCGTCGCACACGCTATTGTCCTTCGCCACCAGAGCGAGCCACCGCCAGCCTTCGCCGTCAGAGCGCGCCACACACGCTACCGCTAGTCTTCGCCACCAGAGCCGCAAGGTTGGCGAAGGGGAGGGGGGTTGGGGGGGCGTTGACCCGGCTGTTGACCTTCGGCGGGGGGCGTTCGGTTCATCATAACACTAACGTAAGTCAAGGTTCAAGATTCAAAATTGTATTCAATTTGCAATATTAAAAAAAGCTTATTAATACATTAGAGGAGAAACAAAGAGTCGGTTGCTACACTAGTCTTACTTCAGCTCTAGTATATGGTTCAATTGCGAAAATAAAATCCTTCATATGCATCTTCATTACACTAACTACATCTTTTTGTACCGTCATGAACTGTAAAAACTGAATGTTGAATAAAATACCTGTGTAGAAACCACACTCCCATGATAATATAACAAAAGAACGAAACTAAATTTCCAGCACCAGTTATGTTTCGTTCCAGAGCCGATTTGTTAATAGATTTCTTCGATGTGTTTTGGACTAGTTTCGTTACGGTACTAAAGTTTGGGTGCACAAGATATTAACGATCTGTCTAATTTCGCATAGTTTTGTTTCTGTCTCCTCGCTTCCCGTATTATACGTAATTATTACGTAGCAATCCGAACATGAATGTAAGAACTCTTACAAATTCAGTTACATATATTACAATGCTGTTCTCTAAATTGTACTTTCTCCCTATAGAAAAAGTTGCACCTCGCTGCGCGAAAAAAGTCGAGCTTTCGGTAGGAAACCTCTTATTACAAAGACCTGGTAACGAAAAAGTGAATACATCCAGTTGCTAATTTTAGGGGGCTGCTCTAAAACGTGGTGTAGCCAGAATCCCCGTTTTCTGAGACCTTGATAGTGAAAAACCGATTGACAGCAAAACGTCTGTCCGCCAGTGAACAATGCTAGCGGCTATACCGTACAGATTATTTTCTCCTAAATTGATATTCTCCGATCGATCAGGCTGATGTCGCGGCCCCATGATATTTGAAACAGATATTTTAATTTTGGGCGGTACTTTACATGAAGCCTCAGGGATATTTTCAAAATTTTCACGAAAATGGCTTCATCGATTTTGATTAATTTTGTTTGGCCAGTGAGAAGAATGTTGAAGAGAATCGTGCAAGTCTTCTGTTCGTTAAAAACTCTGATTTTACGAAAATAACAAAATTGCAATTTTTTTTCGGGAACTTATAATAATTATGGAGATTGCGAATTATCTTACAAAAGGAAAACTGTTCCTTAATGATGAATTTTGAAATAGTCTCAGATACAATTTTTCGAAATTGCGTGGAAGTATGTGCTGTTTTGTCACCATAAGTGCAAAAAGAAAATTATAATTTTTTAATATTGTCCGCCTATTGTTAATTAATTTTGTGCACTATCACAATATGAGGAACGTAAACCATATGTTCCCAAACAAGTACACAATTTGTACTTTTGTTGGGTATTTGCGCGCTCCAGTGCATTAGGGCCACCATCGGATCCGCTGAACCGTGAAGGAATTAGCGTCTGCATTGAGGGCACGCAGACCCTCAGAGAGGGCTGTCTTTTTAAAGAGAAAGGGGATCTTGCCACATTGTTTTGTGAACAGCCTAGGCACAATCTTTTTCTGTACTGACCGCTCCAATAGTTTGTACCCAAGGTTCACAAAATAATTTAAAAAGTATATCGTACTCTTACCTGGGGAACATGCACTGATCTCTTGTTTAATCGTAGTAATAGGAGCACCATCATGGCAGGATGCTAGAGGATCCTACAGAAAAAAAATTATAAACAATCTCTTCATGGAATAAAATATTGAGAATGAAAATTTTAAACTTCATTTGGGAGGGTAAATGCAACTTTGAAAAATTCTAATAATCCATCTTGTCCTTTTAATATTTTGCAGCCCTACACCTTAAATTGCATTGAAAGGATATTCTTGTTTTTCATTCAGTTGACGCCGATGACGAGGATAAATAATGATAATTTTTCGATTCAGAAATACAATAATTGATACTTAATGGATTTTGTACGGTGAAACTTGAAAATAATCACACATGGTTTTGTCTTCTAGTAATTTTAAAGCCTAAAAGACATTTAAAAAATACCTTCTCTACCTGTTAGCATTTTATAATATGGTAAAGGCTATCATCTCCACAAAAGGTTTAATAATTTTTATTAATTATTATCCAGAGTTAACTTTCGGGAAAACACTTTTCCCATCCTCAGTGGGTCTCTAGCAAGGAGGAGAAAATGAGACATTAAGACAAGTTGAACATAAAAAAGAAATACAGTTAATTTAGTGGGGGGAAAAACAATATCAAATACAAATTGAAAATTCCACAAGATATCGGCTACCACCATCCAATTTACTGTTAGCATTTATAACAAAAATAATTTATAAACAGAGTCTGGATATTCATGTATTTTACCTAAAATAAGCATTAACTCTGCATTAAGGATCAAAAAACGCATGACAAGAGTGCAAAATTACAATTTAAGGAAATTATTACGCACAATAAGTAATTAAAATCACTCAAATTTATATTCTATATCTTAAATTTATTTCACCACTTGCAAGTAGCTGCTGACATAAATGGAATGGTTGCAAATAAACTATACCTTCTTTCTCACTTTGGTAGCAGATGACCATCCGATAGGTAAGAAATACTAATAAGCACTTCCTTCCGAAACTTAGAAAGGCGTCCACGAAAAAGGGACTGTTTTGGTCCTTTGCATTGATGAAATCGCTTGCACTGAGTAGTAGCGCGTCGTATATCAAGCACAGAGAGCTCCGTCCTCAAAAGGGTTCGAAGGCCCTAGCCAAAGGCAGGAATGGATATCCCGTAAGCGTTTAATGCCTGTCGGCATCAACGGAATATAATACGCACGTACTAACTGCTACGGCCATTGTTCATGTGAATATAGTTTTTAAATCACGGTAGTGGAGGTGTTCATCTCTAGCTGGATTTTAAAATCCAACGCGGCTGGCGGGGTTACCTCACTTCTTTCCAGCGGGGCACCACCCCACAATGGTTGATTTCCAGAATCTAGCAGTATTTAAATCAAAAATGCATATGGTCGAAACGAATGAAAACCTATGTGGGCGAGTTCCTAATAGTCTTGCCACGACTGTAGCAGTCCCCATAAGTGCAACATTCATTTCTCAGAAGAACGGGGGGATATGTTTATCGAGCGTTTCCAAGCCGCTTGCGCAGCCGTGCTGAAGTCCTGCTTTGACGCGCTTGGTTATATTGCCCACTGCCACAGAATTGTTAAGGATAACGTGTTTGTTCGATATGGACGAGAATTCGGAAGGAATGTTCTTTAGAATGCACTAACGTTTAATACAAAATTTTACATTTTTGATTGCATTTTATATGCAAAAGTATCGCCATGTATTTTAGAGAGGTTTCTTAGTGATCGAAAATTTGAGTTGCCAGCCTTTGCCAAGAATGCTCTTTGCATGATTGTTTTCTCTAAACCTTCTGGAACAAAATGGTGGAAAACATTTTTGCCCGAATTTGTGCCTTTCCGAAAAAATCGATTGTTTTCAGATGCTTGTACAGTCACTCGACGGGAGCTATTTGAGCTCATTGGTGAGGGTAAACTCTCTCATGCAACAGATTTACTGAATAGAAAAATGCGAATGCAGTATTATTCCCGTAATGTTATTGGGAGTATTCCAGAGGCAGTATTAAGTGAGAAAACACGTAGATTCACCTGCCAAATTGCTGAAAAATGGAAGGCTTGTAACAGAATGGTAGACAGATTCGCAGCAAGGAACCAAGCATGACTGGGCGACGAAATTTTGTGCGTCAAGGAAGAAGCTCAGAAAACGATGAAATATAAGACATGAAATAGAAATATCTTCATGTTCGAAGAGAACAAAGAGGCGAAAAGTACAACGAGATATTACAGACCCATTAAATTGGAATTTGAAAAAGGTGACACCGTATAGGACAAATACAGAAATAACTCCTTTAGAAGAAAACATTACGAAGCTTCAAGAAACAAAACTGAATATTGGGGTGCATATATTTTTAAATATCACAAAGTATTGTAGTATATGAGGAAAAAGTGTGTAATTCACTTATGTTAAAGCCTCCTCTCAGAAATTCTTTATTTATGGTGCATCTCTAAAGCAAATAATTATTATTACAAACAAATTATTAAAAAACCTTGCCGTAAGAAAGCTTTTTATGTTGGCCTTTCACGCACAAATTCATTTCTTCGTGTTCCTTACTCACATTTCTTACAGACCGTATTTTATAAAATGGCAGGATCGTGGATATGAAGAAAAATACTGTAAACTCCCAGGAAAACGCAAATAATTGTCAAATATCGAAAGAAAATGTGACTCCTTACGTGCATCCTAAAACAAGTAGTACATCGAACGATGGGGACACTATTCGGCATTTTTTCCAAAATCTGGAGCAGTATACTAACATCACTTCGATAGATGGAAGTATCATTCGCCGCTTCTCTGCTGGTTTACAAGCATTGAGAAGCGGATATGACGTGACTTCGGAAGCTTTCAGAAAAAACGCATTTGAAACAAGAAAGGTTTATGTCAGTTTATACGGACGGGTACTTCACGCCTGTAACAATGTACAAAATATTAATTCATGGCGCTGATGTCATTAATGTCCCAATAGGACAACTGTCCGACGACACGCAGGAAGCCCGACACAGACTTCAAGTCATGACGAGAAAGAAAAACTCAAAAATCATCTAGAGAATGTGGCAATTGAAGATCTGCTTCATTTCTTATTGATTTCTTCTGACTCAGTAAAAAAAAGCATCCGACCACTATCAACTAAGGAAACTGAAAAGATTCCGACGGAAGTTTTGTAGTGTATGTTCCTGGAGGTGATGTGTTACGCAAATCCAGAGAAAGATTAATATCTACTATTGTAACTTTTCTTTGTTATTACTCTTTATATTTTTTTTATTTGCACTGTAATGTATGAATTAGAATCAGAATATTTCATTTTGAGTTAGTGTCTCGTGAACCTTTAGTAGGAGTAAGCAATTGCATGCAGAATCTCTAAAGTAGTTCCAACATTGATAACCTGACAATTTTTATCAAGACTTGAGGGCAATGAATTTATTATTGTATTTCGTTCCCACATTACAACATAGTGTAAAAAGGCACAAGGAATAATTCTGACCATTTTCAACACTGTCGGCTTTACCGTTCTCTTAATAACATTATAATACCGCTAGATGAAGGAAATCATCCACTGTGCGCCCCAGCTGGGACACGCTCTAAATTTCCGACACACGCGTTAGGTAGTGCATGTAAGTGGCAGGAAAAGTGGAAGAAAAGATCGCGCGCGGCGCATGGCCCGTTTGTTAGCGTACTGCTCCGGCATTCATCCGGTATGGTTACGAGAAACCAAGGTCAACTATCGATCAGACCAGCCGACCACTAGACGGCTCCTCCAGGCACTGCCACGGTCGGGCGTGGAACTCTAGAGACTCCCGGTCAGAGACACCGAGAAACCACTGCGCTCTGATTCACCTTTCACTGATTCGAAATCAATGACATCATTCATTGGGCATGAACGGAATATTAGCATTAAGACGCGACTAAATAACTTGACGTCTCTTAATTTTGTGAGCAAGCAAACAGCTAGAGCCTCGCTATTTTAATGAAACTTGTAACAAACGAATTTGGGAACCAATTTCTCGTTTGGAATACAGTTTGTTTATTATCAATGGACCAATTATGCGTGAATGCATAGACGACTACGTGTTTGAAGTATCTCTCTTCCGTTGGCATTACAACATTCGGTTACCACTAAAACACATTTGCCACCGTTCAGAACTATTGCTTATATTGCACGAAAACTATTTTTTAAATATTCGTATCTTTAATTAAAGAATTATAGAAAACTGTACTTAAAAGAAATATCTCTATCTTCAATGTAGTAGTTGTAGGAAAACATTGAAATAAATTCAACTTTACAAATATTCCAAAATTCAGACTTAACGGTAAGAATGGTCCTATGATACCTTTATTGCTGTATTATAGTCTATTCTTTAAAAAAAAATTAAACAAGTCTGGGGCTTCATGTAAAGTACTTTCAAATATAATTGAATGTTTCTCAAAATTGGAAAGTTTCGAGTAGAGCCAGAACGACCGAGGAATATTCAATTTGGAAAATATCCTACGTATAGTTTTAGCACGTTTGCCTGTAACAATAACTGATTCTTCCAATGACACACACATGCTCTAGAAACGTTACACGTGGCAATGGTCTTCTACACTCACAATCGTAAGAGCACTGGGAATGAGTGCAGAGAATGGACCAGAAACCACACAGTATCTAAGACGTAAAATGCGAATGTAACCTGTTATTCTTACCTTATCTTCGCGAGTACATGATATTTCTTGCTTCACTGGTGGCCCAATAAACACAGCAATTGGAGGCAGCAACTCCTCCTGTACAAAACAAAAATATGACAAAACAAAGCTAATGGTTCTAAATCATCAACTAATCTTAAATCAAATGTGGAAGTTCGTTTAGGATTAAACGACAACTGTCATAAAACAAAGATGAGAAATTATCCATTCAAAATATATTGTTCGATAATTTAACTACTATATTGCATACTAATAAATCGATTGTATATCATATTAATGAATTCTTTGTAAAAATAGGATCAAAAAATGGCCGAAAATTTCATCACGCGATGATAGTCAAAGATACATTAGACGGAACTCCAATAGATTCTACTTTTACAACTCCAATGACGAATTATTGATTGTCATTAATAACAAATTCTTAAAATCCTGGAGTGGTTGATCACATTCCCATTGGATCACAATTGTTGGACATTATATAATGAAGCCATTAAATGTTATTGTTCACTAGCGAGATCAGGCAGACGTCCTGCCTTCAACCTCTCTCGTTCTCCTTCCCTCTGTCCCTGACACTGTCTCCGTCTCTCCTGGGCACACTCATAAACGCAGGGGAAGAATATGCAAATAAGTGGCTCTTAATACTCATACTTCACGGTGTTGCGGATGCGTCCGGTGCTATTGCGTAGACTGTCCAGTTCAGAGGCGCTTGATTCAGCATTAATTATCAACGCGCGTCTACGTGTGCAGTCTTACGCTCAGTTCCGTCGTACATTGCCTATATACTTCCCACAGGTGCAAGCAATATGTTGGCAAAGTTTTATCGCAATCGGATGAACGGTACGGCAGCGCAATAAGTGCAAACCAACCAACAAACATTGTTTTTATATTTTGTTAATAAATGCATGACGGACGGGTGGTGCAAAACCTTTTAAAAATATTTTAAGTGATCCAAATATATAACCTGGATGATAGGGAGGAAGCCACGAATTACATAAAAGTTTCTTACTTTCGAATTTTCAATTATTTTTCAAAAGACAATCAAGAAAAAAATGATTGATTTCACACCCACCAAAAAAACAAACAAACAAACACCTTTTCTATCCAGAAAAGTAAAACTTTGGCCTGAAAGCCATCTCTCGGTATTGGTGTAAACTACCTTGTTTGCAAACAATGTTATGCCTGCCCGAGTCTACAACAGTGACTTGAATCTTTCAATCAAGCACATGGCACACAGGCCTAAATGAAACTGGTAAGTTACAAAAAATACTTTCTATAGGAATCATTGCTTTGAGGTCAAAGCCATTAAGGAATTATTTATTGCTAATGTAATACGAAACACACCAACATGTTATTTACTACAAAATTGTTTTATTGGTACTTTCTGAATAATATCTATGGTGCAATTAGCCAATTATATCAGTCAACCCTCTGTAAATCAAAAAATTGTGATCTTGTAATAGTGAATCTTGAACATATATTTGCTTATGAATTATATTGGAAATAAAATCAACTTATTTAACTGATCATCAAAATAAAAATTTGTACTATATAGAAAGAAATCAAGAATGAGACAAAAATGTGAAGCGGTAATTGTTATGGAATCAGCAAATACTATGTTAAGATAAAAGCAACAATTCGTAACAACTCAAGTCACATGCTACAAGTGGAGGTAATAATAATAATATTAATATTTTTTATTTGCCAATAGATTTATGCAGTGAAGGTTCAAGGACTGTCAATGTGTAATAACTTTAAAATGGTATAAAACCAAAATTAACAAATAAAATACAATTTATAAGAAAAAACAATCACCTACGACACATACATACAAACTAAATTAGAATACTAATACATTTTCTACTCCATTACTTCGTTTAATTTACAGGCCACGTTCCTATTAAATAATTTTTCAACAAGTCATTGATTTTTTATTTTTCAGATATATCTTTAATATTTTTAGGCATTTTATTATATAATAATATGACTCGGTTCTGGAGGCCTTTATTCATTGAGGCTCTAGATGTAAATATCATGTAGTCTTCTTTGCTTGTAGTACTATAATTATGCAATTGACCATTATAAATAAAGTGTGTGCATGTTTTCTTTCTGAAGAGAGTAATGATTTTATGGGCATACAGAGCTATTGCAGTCATTATGTTGTGTGTGGTGTAGTAATTCTTACATGACTAGATTTTAGTGTGAAAATGCACCCAAGGGCTCTTTTTTGTGTAATCATAATTCTGTTCACGTTTAGAATGCTTGTACTACCCCATATTTCTATTCTACATTCAATAAATGGGTGTCACATCACATAATATATTGTTTTGAATGTACCAATGACAAGTATTTCCTAAAATATGTTAATAAGAAGATATTAGAGCTTATTTTATTACATTTTTCATAAATGTGTATATCGAAAGTTAGGCTTTTGTAAATGTACATTGCAAGAAATTTATGGCATTCAATTTGTTTTATAGTCTCATTTTTTACCTCAACAAGAGTAGAGTTATTAAAATACAACACATTTCTTTTTCAGCATTTAAATTTAAATTATTCATGTCTAAGTAGCTAGATGTATGTTCCATTGATTTTGTCTTTTTTCATCTAGTGTAATTAAGTCTTTAGCAACGCTTACAACTGTCATGTCATCTGATATTAATACATAATCTACAGTCTTGGGAAAGTCATTCACATATAATAGTTAAAATAGAGGACTAAGTATTGACCCTTGTAAAACACTTGAAATTACTATATCAAACTATGACTGTATTTTATCAACTGAATATTCAGATTTCCAAAACATTTCTATACATTGCTTATGATTTATTAGGTATGATTGTAAATGTTTATTTATACTTGCTCTCAACACCAAACACTCCATTTTTAGGAACAAGTAAGTTGTGAGGTACTATATCAAAAGCCTTAGATAGACCTACAAAAATACTTGCTTTCATGATGATCAAATACTTAATTTATAATATCATATGCAGTTGTAGTAGTTGACATGCATTTTCTGAATCCATGTTGATATCTTAAATAAAGCATTGTTACATTCAATAAAATCATAATTTGTTTTTGATATATCTTTTTAAAAATGTTGAGCAAAACTTTATGTGAGAGTGATAGGTTAATAATTATTTATATCATTTACAATTCCTTTCTTATAAAAGGATCTCACTATACTAATTTTTAGAACATCTGGGAATCCATCTATACCATCTCTTAGTGAGCTGTTTATCTGATGCTATTATTTCAAGTAAACACAGTTGCATTTGGGTCTATCCATTTTAGGTGGTCCAGTACTGGTCACTCAACCATCTCGAAAAATATTCATATTTTGTAAATAAATTTCCTTATGTTTTGGCTGCTCAAAAGCATCTTGATCTTTTTTATCGAACCTGGTATACAGATGGGGCCATTTTGTTTTATGCAGTGTGCCTTTTTTCATGTTTGTAGCCATTTACTCTTTCCTAAATTACTCACTAGGTGGTTCTCGTATTATAGAATAAAAGGAATTGGATTCAATATACTATGGCCAACAAATTGAAATATTATTTACCTACCATCTGTTTTTTAATTTGGGAAATATTTGCAAAGACGACTATGGAACGCGAATGAACGAAATTATGTTTTCAGAGTAACTTCTGAAAAAAGGAATAGAATCACTGCCATATTTTTTTTCTGTCCTTTACACAAAGTATAGGCACATTTTGTAAAGTATCATTGCTAAATAACATACCACTTGAAAATTAAATCCTTTTAAAAATTGATATTTTTTATTATTGTGAAATTTTCAACTGTAATATCTGTTGGGGGACCAAATAAAAATCTAAAAATTGCACTCATGCATGATAGCTGTCGTACCAAAGTTCAGTAAAAATTTCAACTTTACAATTTAACTGAGAGCATTATATAAAAATTGTAAATTTATATACAAAGAGGCTTCATTTACCCTTTGAGGATGTGTTGGGCCAAAAAATATTCATATTATTTTAAAGCTATTTTAAATTAAAATCCACATTGATTTAAAATAATTAATTATACTTTATTATTAATAAACATTAGAGTGGATTAATATATAATTTTCAACATTACGTGAAAATTATTTTAAAACAAACTCACAACTTCTCATCTACAACTTTCGTAATTCAAAATATGATTGTCTTGATTTTAAAAAGTGATTCAGCTAACACAAAAATTGTTTCTAAGATATACCAAATAAATTAGTTTTGTTTATTTATTCATGTTTAGAAGTGCCATTTTACTTCTTATTTCTGAAGGTTTCTTCAGAGAATATTGTTTTTTAAAGCATCCTAATTCAGTTTCGTTATAAGTTGTATAATGTACTTTCATATTTTCTCTAATTAAGGAGTAGTATCCAACCAATTAATTTACTTCACTTCAAATTCTTTTACCTTGTACCAGTAGTAATGGTAAACAAACAATATCTGTCCACATATGCAGAGCCTCATCCAAATTAACCCAGTATGAACTACATCTCGGCGGGCCCTATTTCCAAACAATCAATATTGTGGAAAACTAATTTCATTGAAACAGAGCAACTAAAAATGGGGTTAATTTGTTTTTGTACTAACAATTGTTATTGATAAACACAACTTTAAGATTAGTTTGGTAGTTATGTAAACTTTAAGAACACATGAATACAGAAGACGTAGGGAAGCAAAGCAGAAAATATATTTGTTACCTAGTAGTAAAACTAACCTATCACAACATTTAAACAAAGTTCGAAGAAACGAGAAATAAACCCAACTGAGATGAGAATCTGACAGAAATTATTGAAGGAGAGCAGTAAGGGCAAGTCCATATCATTGTTCTTTGTAAATATACTATTTATCTAACACTTAAAATATTTAAACATTAGACCAACATCTGTTTGATTATTTCAATAATATATGCTCATATGAATAACAGTTCATACATCTGTAAATTCCCACATAAGCATTTACATGTCAGCATTGCCATTTAATTATTAATTTTCTCTTCATCATCACTGTTAAATTTGTGGAATAGAAATTCAAAAACAACCAAATATGGGTTTTTGAATTTCTTGTTTTTGC